TCTTTTGGGTAGAAACCTGTGGCCAGGCACGTCAAAATCACGTTTGTCTCAATCTTGGCACCCTTTGTAAACAAGTACACCTCTGGAGGAGCTGGAGGGAGAAAACAGGAAGTGATCTCATGGTTACGGGGTGACTATGCAGCACTGACATTTCTAAAATTTGATTAAAAAAAAAACAAACAAACAAAACAAACAAACAAAAAACAAACACAATATATCAAATCATAACTCCTGTGTCGTGACTCTTACCAATATACAGCCCTATGTGTTTCCATGACAACTCAGAGAACGACACCCATTTTGAATATGCAAGTAATTTTCTGTCAGCAGTGTGAACAACAGATATTTGCCAGACTGCAGATAAATCCTAATAATTTCTAATCAGACCAGCTGATCCCATATTTCATCATCCTGCAGAGTCGTCCTTGTTTTACTAAAGCTACTTCTGTACTCTGTAGCAAGAATGAATAGAAAAACAGGAATTTTTCTCATACGTACAGGCCCCTCTTAGCTGTTCTTCCCCATAGTTCACGAACTTGTTCAACCATTCCATGCACTCGTTCTCCAGGTATCCTTTGGTGTATTCTTTCAGGACCTGAACACCATCCCACTTATCCTTGGTCTGCTTTGCCTCATTAGTCGGGGCAACCCACACGGCGTTGGCGTCATCAAAGGCCAGGAAGTCCTTTCCGTCGTAGCTGTACATATCCGTGCCACGGTGGAACTCAAGTTTTCCGTTAGACATGTCGCCCTCACAGCCATGTTGCCACTGGAGTACATGGACGTCTGAAGGGCAGGACAGTGAAACGAATGACTTGCAACACAGAAATGATAATTTCACAGCCAGACAACATGATGAGGTGGCTCAGCTATCAATATTTATGGTTAATTTGGTTGGTTTATTTAAGGTATATATATATATATATGTTTATAGGTTTCAGTTAACAAATCATTAAATGCATCACAAATTACAATTAAACCTGCAATAACAGAGCAGTATTAAACTGCTCCTGACTTAAAAGAAGAAACATTCACATCTGCAGATTTCGTGGTCTTATTAACCCTGTGACATGACTCATACATGGTTTGACACCTGTACATCAACACCAAAATCAGTCATTATCTGAAAAATCTCATGTATACGGCTTGTAGAGTGGAGCTGTGGGTATTTATATAAAGTTTTACAACCTTGTCTGTCATTATTAGTGTGATGAGCAGATTCTCCACAGCAATCAGGTGCAACGGAAAAAGTGGAAAAGTCAAATCTGATTCTTTTTTGTAGTATAAAGTAAGAAAGTTAACACAACTGATGAGGAGCTATGAACCATATTTAAAAAGAACAGGAGGTCAAAGAATAAGGAGAAAGCCTTACAGTGACGCTACATTCAAATCAATGCTCTAGCCCAGCGTGGATGTTTGTTAATGTGCACTGGTGTAATATTTGTGCAGAAAGCAGATTTTAACCAATGGTGCAGCCTCCCTACAGTACATTCCCAAGCCAAGTCAGACAGTGACAGATATGACTTAATACAGTACAGCTTATAGAGATATACTACAGTGAAATGCATTATAAGAAAATAAAACAGATTGATAAACATACAACTGACAATATGAACTTGGGCATTATGTCACATATTGTAAATACAGTATGTGCACATAATAAAAACATAAGTCATAAATATATAAATAAATACAAAACTAGAATTTCCACTTTGCAGCTGTACGCCTCTGCCAATCAGCCAAATTCACAATGGGACAGATGTGAGGTCACTGACCTTGACCTTTGACCACCAAAATCTAATCAGTTCATCCTTGAGCCCAAGTGGATGATTGTGCCAAATCTGAAAAAATTCCCTCTATCCTTTCTGAGACATGATGTTCACAAGAACAAGTTGTTTGGGCGGACAGACAACCCAAAAACATAACGCCTCTAGCTCCAGAGGCACAACAAATGCATGCTTTTGTTCCTAAAAAAAAACCCAGTCGCATCACATTTAATGCAAACAAAAAATTACACATGCTATTTAAATGTATTTTCCTGTCAAGAAATTCATTGATCATCTAATTAAAAAACTGAATTATCTGCTAAGCGATTCAAGTGTCAGGGTTTATGTGGGTAATCAGTCCTGACTCATCTGAGATTGGCCCCAGTCCTTCACACGTCGTGGGTCTTACCCGTGTCGTTCTGCCTCATTCTCCCCTTCAGGATATTGATGTTGACATTGAACCACTGCTGCTTGCTCTGGCGTGACTGTGTGCCTTTTTCCCAGTAATCATCAGGAAGCCTCTCTTTCATCCAATCCTGTTTGGGAACTTTCTTTGGGTTGTCACTGTCGAAGTAGTCAATCATCCTGTCATCCAGCAGACCCATGGCTGTGAACTGGTGGATGCCCGGGGAGTTGACAGGTTTGGACAGGGCTGTGTAGATGTAAGTGAGGGAATGCCTCTCTACAAGTCACACAGACAGAAAAACACAGAAAAGACAGATAAGCACCAGTAAATGTGACTAGGGTTTTGGGCATGTCCTTATTCATCTATTGACAGGGCAAGCATCTTCACACATGGCACAGCGTGAGCCAAAACACTTGGACAATCACCTCTGGAATTTCATCCAGTGAACAACCACTGAACAATAAGTCAAAATACTCCAGAATTTGTCTCACGATTAGCAAGGTGAGGATGAATTTAATTAAACTAAAGGTTATCAGACCTGACCAAGAGGTCTGAGGTTGTTTAGGGAACCTACAGTAACTTAGGCCTCAGGGTAGTGAGACTAAGAGGCACCGTATGGGCTTCATTTAAGATAATGTTAAAGCTTTTCTCTCTATTCGGTGTGCTAATGCATGGGATCCAAGTGATTATGTACACACAAAAACATCATTAATTTGCATTTGGGAGCTCTTTGGGAGCTGGGTTTGTTTGGAATGAACAGACAGAAAACTAAGTGACAATATGACTGCTGGATGTTTCTCACAATTCCGGCAAATTTTGTGTAAAAAACTGAACAAATGCTTTGCAATGCAGTAGGGCTGTAACTGTCAATTGTTGTTATTGTCTGTCAATCATTTTTGATTAATTATTTTGCCTGTAACATATTTTTTAAAAATGAAAAAAGTCCATCACATGTTCACATCCCATTTTGTCTGACCAAGACAGAACCCAAAGCTTTTCAGTCTTCACTGATATAAGACAAAGAAAAGCAACAGATCCTCAAACTGGGGAGGCTGAGATCAGGGACGTTTTGAAAACTATTTGTTATTAGGCCTAATCACTATAATACCTAAGCTGCAGTTACAAAAAAAAAAAAACATGAAAAAACAAGAAATAACAGAGAACTCAAACTCAGAAAGTAAACTGCTGTCAGAGCGCAGCCTTGTTTTCAAGACAGTTCTGGGAGATTTCTTATCAGCGTTGTCTGTGCACCTCAGTGCCAGTGGTCAAAGTGCAGTGTTGATAAATGGAGCCAAAGACCTTAATGAGCAATAAACACTCACACAAGCAATGTGACAATGCCACCTTTACGATTTAATGCATTTTCTAGAACATTAAACTCTGTTGGTAATTTATTGATCACCCTGACCTCTTAAACCACAAAAACTTTAATAAAATCGTTTTTAACAACAGATTCCCCTGTCATTCCCACTCTGAACAAGGCTTTCATTTCATTCAGAAAGAATATTTCTTCTAACTGAAGGAAGCTCAATTATTCTAATATAAATAATGTATCTATATAGTGATTATGTTTATGATTCCAGTGAAAGAACTGCTACCATTTTCCTAACTTTCACTATACTTTCCTTAATAGCAAAGAAATTAGCAATATATTTAGAGATAACATTGGAATCATCGCACATAGAGTCTTCAATTTTCAGTTTGGTTATGAAGTTCACTTCTGCATTACGTTTTTCTAGATTGAAAAATATATCTACTGTTCTCCCCCTCCTCTAACCATTTTCATGGTTAAAAACTCCATCCCTCTTTGTCTTATATAATGGTAGATCTCATTTATTTCAGGTTTCTGATTGCTGGGTTTTCAACTATATTATCATTTTAGCTTTTTAAAAAATAAAACACATATAAGCTTAATCATAAAGATGCCTATAGCTACATTTGGCTCACATGGCCGTTCACGATATCTAATGACAGATTACTTAAGATTTAGAACCAGTCAGTTAATGTAATAATATTCCCTTAATGTAGCAGGTCTTTATGATAAGTGCACATTATTGAAATTTAAAAAAATCAACTGTCTACGTAAATAAATTAAACTAAACATTCAGCAGCGACACGAATTTTTAAAGACGTCACAACTGTTTTTTACTTTCACTTTTAACCAGACTGCATTAATGTGTCAGAAAACTTCACTCTGTTGGGGGCGTGTTTTCAGGCACGGTATGCTAATGTTTCATGTGCATTCAGGTACATTCAAAAGGGCTTGTAAACTAGACGTCCGTGATTGATCATTAGGAAATGAACTATATTGAAAAAAATCAGGGACTATTTCACACACTAATGTGGCTAATGTTAAATCTATTCTATACAAATTAATTTATCATGAGATGAGGTGCATCAGGATGTGGCTGGCTGACCACCTTGGGGAAGCACACTATGCTTTTTCGCACACAAGTACAGTATATGAGTGGGCAATAACCCTCATTGCAATACCTGTAAATATACCTCGTACAGATTAAACAGATTCGTCTCAATTCTTAAATACTCTATTTTTATTCCTACGTATCCCACGTCACAATGAGCATTCCTTGTCTCTCTGCATTGTTTACTGCCTGTTTATACTGCTAATTTTGTATTTGTTGCACTGTTTGTTGCTTGTTAATACTGCTTATTTTGTTATATTACACAGCCTCGTGCTGGTTTACTGTTTACTTGGCCCTTGCCCAGGTCCCCATTTTTATTCCTATTATTTCATTTCAATGAGCATTCCTTTGTCTGTCTGCATTGTTTCCTTACTTATTTTGCATTGTTTGCACTGTTTGTTGCTTGTTAACACTGATTATTTTGTTATATTAAACAGCCTTATACTGGTTTACTGTTTGCTCGTCCCTTGCATTTGGGATATGTGCATGCACATTGAGAGCCGCTTTACCACAGTCAAATTCCTGGTGTGTCTGACACACCTGGCCAATAAAGCAAATTCTGATTCTGAATATCATGCCTGCTAAATATATTATACTAATCTCTTAACATTCCTAATATTTCTGCAGATTACTCCTCTGGTAAATTCAGTTGAATATATCAGTGTTTTTACATAGTTGCAAAATGTTAATACCTACAGTATTGTACTGTACTAAACGGTCATCTCTGTTCTTACACTGGGAAGAATTTGTGAACGCATCACCGCGACTTCCTGGTTATCTGTCCTGTTTGTGATTTGTTGTTTCAGTTGATTACGTTCATTGTCACATTGTTACCACCTCAAGTCCTGCCACAAGGTGAAGCAATAGTTCTGTAACAGTCTGGCAGGCTGAATGGATGTTATATATACACACAATAACTACCTATTTATTTCACTGCACTAATCATTTAATTGTCTGCTGATTAATTTTATGTTGACCAACTAAAGCAATGATTTCAATAGAGCTGCAACAATTAAAATATTAATTAAGTGGCAACGAAATGTGCGAACTGCTTGTATTGTATTACAGTAAATTATACATTAAAACTTTACTTGTATAATAAATTCTGTTACACACTATAGGCAGCAAGTGCATCCAGTGATATATACATTATATAACCTTCATGAAAACTCTCATGTGTTCACGGGCCATTTATAATTTATAATATTAAATGATAGTATTAGTTTGACAATAGTTTGACCCTGTGGTATAAATATTCATAATGACACTTTTTTGGCTTTTTACATTTGCCCCTACCATGTAATGAAGTTTTTAAGATATTATTTAACGTCATAAACTCAAAATGTAGGTACACTGCTGATATCAGTGAGAAACAACACAGAGCTGGAAAGAGGAAGTAGCCAATGTTGCTAAGCTAACGTTAGCAAGCTATTTCTGGATGAAGACGCCCAGATCAGATTTGAAAAGTAGCTAACACGACATTAAATGGGGCATCGACTGCCTTCTAAAATATGTCCATGTAAACGTAGACATAACATGTAACCGTAATTGTATTTATATCAACTTACGTTAGCTAGCGTTAACTGTAAACCGAGATAAAATTAACAGCGACGATTGTTTTTTTCTGCGTTTCATAAATGTGACCGTTAAATGTGATCTTACCGGCTCCAGATGACTCTAAATTCAGCCACAATAATGGCAAAAACAGAAATATCCAGGCTGTTGGCAGATTCATGATTGTAAACTGTAAAAACAAAAACAATGGGGAAAAAGGAGAGATCACAACAGACTTGTCCGTGCGGCCTATAACAGCATTACGCTAGAATGCGGGCATCACCCAATCAAATAATTCAGAGCAGGTTGCTAGGCAGATTACACTGAAACACTTTGCCGTCAGGCAGCCCAGAAGAGCAGGTGTTCCGTCAAACAGATCTTTTAAGTAATATAGCCCACTACAAAGTAGAAACACTCTGTTAGAATAAAAATCCTGCATTCAAGCCAGTTTCTGACAGTAAAAGAAGAAAAGATTAAAATCAATATTATCAACCAAATGTTGAGCTAAACATTCAAACACTATGAGATAAATCTCAAAAGCAGCTATCTGCAATATAGATGGATATCGCCCTGTTATGTGGAAAAGCATTTCATTTGTAACTTAGGTGGACTGGCTCTTTAAGCAAAGGTTTCTGCACATCATTTCTATTATAGCGAAATCAATGTCAACTGTTGGCCTAGAAGGAAGAATTCAAACATTTTACAGTCTTCACCTTCCAACCCTTTATTCATTGCTTATATTCAAGCCAACAAATCAACACAGTTACAAATACCTACTTACAAGATATATGTTTGTACATATACTACTACACTGTTAGACTTTGGATTTGACAGAGATACTTTAACTTATACATTCACTTTTGCAGAGAAGCTTCCACACAGATGAAGAGATTGTCTGTAAATTCAGTGAGTGAATTTACAGTCTCTCACTTTCTTTGGACCTGATTCAGTGGCAAACAGAAGATGACAACACGGAAAAAGACACTACCTTGTGGAAGTGTTGAATTATTATACTACCATTAGAAGTGTTTTTTTAATGTATTTGTAGTCAAATTTAAGTTACCTGTGATTTTATCATGTTGTCGGGGCTTTAACTAAAACCTGTGTCAAATATTTCCTCAAACATAATCTGCCTGAAACCTTGTACTGTTTCTTATTCTTAAAATCAGTGATCCCCTGGGCAACTTTTCCAGCAACAGTTTGTTTCCGTGAATCATTTTAATATATTTTTGACTCTGTATGTCTGCAGTGCTGTTGCTGGAACCCACCTACATAAAAACTGCAGTATATCACCACCTTTCCCTGTTTACTGAATCATCTCTACACAACTTCACCCTCATGTTCTCTTGTCAAAATCCTCTGTCCTTCCCTTTACTGTAAAAACCTCTTCCTCATCAGTTCCACTTGTCCTCCTCTGTGCTCCCTCCATCCCCAGTCAGTCCATCTTTTCCTCCCAAAGCGGAACCCGAATCCTCCTTTCTCCCGGTTGACAGCCTGAAGTCCTCCAGCAATAGAGGTGAGAGCTTCGTTCCTCTTCCCCCCGTCCTCCCCCTCTCCTCCCTCCTGATAGTGCACACTCTCCAGCATGTGACCCCCGGGGAAGGGTGACAGCAGCCGGGCCATCAGATCTCCTCTCTGGGTCCTCAGCAGTGCCTCTTCCTCCCAGTACCCATCTCCATCACCCCTAGGACCCTGCAGGGCTGGCTGGGAGTCCTGAGGCCACGCAGCCCATGTGTTGTCTCCTGGGTCCTCCAGCAGGGCCGACTCCAGCTCAGGTACATGCACTTTGGTCTGGACAGCAGTGGGGCCGATGGGGTATAATGTGACAGTGTATGGGATGGGGCAGAGGAGGGCAAGGGAGAGGAGGGTGAGCTGAGAGGCACTGAGATGGAAAGAAAGTCTCATCTGGAAACAAAGAGGTCACGGCAAAAGTTAGTAATCATCATGAGATTATTTTGTGATTGTGTTTTTTAAAATCTGTTACAACTCTCACATCATGCAAAAAAAATTAACATAAGCTCTTAAGCAAGTGTAACAGAAATATTATGACATGATTACAGGTTAACAATAATTAATAAAAATAATTAGAGAAAGCATTTTAAAACAAACACTGATAATACAAACATGCACAGGTGTAAGAGTTGCAATACAGGTCAAAGTCATTCATTCTTTTTATGTGGTGTATTGTTGTCTTGTAATGTACAGTAGAGCCCTTTTCCATAACTTATGCAGCACCAGGCTTCTGACGTCACTAAACATCAACTGGAGTAAGTTGTTAGCAAACCTGGAGTCCAGTCAATGAAATAAGAATGAAAGTGTGGTTTAGAACAACCTTGACTTATAGAGACACTCAGTGTCAGTGTGCTGTTCACAAGCAGAGTCAGCTGATGTGAACCGGGCCTCACAACAAAGAGCTCTCAGAAGACCTACAATCAGGAGCTGTTGATTTGCATGTAGCTGGACAGAGTAACAGTCAGACATACTGTCTATAAATGGAGACAATGTGGTGCTGTGGTTACTCTCCATAGAAGTGGGTGCACAGCCAAGATCACTCCACAGGCACAACACAGAGTGCTCAGTGAGTTAAAGAAGAGCCCTAGAGTAACAGCTAGAGACTTGAAGGATTCATTGGAGATTAACATCTCTGTTCTACCATACGCAGACTACTGAGCCCCGACCTCAGTCCAACAGACACACTGTGGAATGATCTCAAGACGTTGACACCAGATGCCCTAAGAATATGGCTGAGCTGAAGCAGCTCTGTCAGGAAGAACGGTCCAAAACTCCTCCTGAACATTGTGCAGGTCTGATCCACAGCTACAGGAAGCGCTGGCTGGAGGTTGCTGCTGCCAAAGGTGGTTCAGCCAGTTATTAAAACACTGCTGCCATGACTTTGTCCACATCACTGTGAATGTTTAATGTGCTCAATAAAGACATGAAAAATGAGGACTGTTTGTGTTTTATCAGCTTAGAAATATTGTTTGTTTGTTTGTTGATATTTGTGACTTTGGTGAAGATCAGATCACATTTTAAGCAATAAACCAGTAAACAGCAAACAGTGCCATGACTTTTCTGGTGACTGTACATCTCATTAACCAGACATTATGCGGCAAAATACAAAATGCTTGTACTTTATGATTCTATCCAACAGTACAGACTAAATCCTGAGAACCACAGCCACACGTTTTGCCTGATCTCACTGAAGTCCAGCGTGAGATGCTGCCTGCAAAATCACCGAGCCACTTCTTAGCTGGTTTGGTCAAAAGTGTAAAATCTACTGTACATAATTAGATAAACAGGAGAAATAAGTTGCATCAATGAAAAAATTAGCTTTGTTGCGACCCAGATGTCCCATTTCTTACCTTGTGCTGTGGTCCAGCCCGTTGTGTCTTCTCTAACGTATGTCGCCTCTGACCTTTTTAAAAACTGCACACTGTCTATCCTCCCCTGCCGCCCTCAGGGGCCCAGGCTGCTGGTAGCCATTGGTCCCTCACCCTTCTGATGCAAACAAATGAGTCAGTCGCCATAACCTTCATTCTTTCAGCTGAGAAACCATAGTCCTCTGCAGCAACAAGGCCCAGAATGTGGTTGTAATTATCACCGATTGACTGAGGAGGCAATTCATAGTGAGGAAGCAGGTCATTCATTAAAATGTTTCTGAGGAGAGAAATGTCCAGGAGAGAGGAGGAGGACACCGACAGGCTGCGAGACAGAGGAAGACAAGGGCAGTTTGAGGTTCCTGAGGGTCGTCTCTCTGGGAGGACACAGACACACCTGAAAGAATGTCATTCAAGAGCCTGGCTCCTGACAAATCATCTCGCTGACAGACCACCGCTCAGTACTAGTTTCAAACTATTGATGCTGTTCTTTAACTTATGTCCCTGCAGCGACTTAACACCGAATGATTTTTGTATTTGTTCTGAATCCTAAAGGTTATAGAGGAACAGGCTTAAATTCACAAACTAACCCTGAACATGTGAGTGCCACTGCTGTGTTTGATAAAAAAATCTGGTTTAGTACTATTTTGGCTTAATTATTAAGTGTTATCGATCATTTCTATCATAAGACATGTGTTTGATAAAAAAATCTGGTTTAGTGCTATTTTGGCTTAATTTTTAAGTGTTATCCATCATTTCTATCATAAGACGTTTTTACTGACCACCTTAGCTGCTGAGATCTAAGAGCACGTTAACATTGCTAAACAAAGCCCTCAGCTTTACTGTGGTTTAATCCTTGTCATTTTATTTTTGATAAGCAGCATCAGGTGACCACAGTCTTTTCTGTAAAAATCATCTTATTTAAAACTGTTTCCCAAGTTTCCTATTCTGTTAGTCCAGCCTGCCTTCTTCGTTTTGCTAGGATGATGTAAATGATGGATGAGCTGGTGTGGTGTACAGAGGAAACTTGGAGGAAGCACATGGTAAAACAGGTTTATTCACTGTTCAAGTACAACAAGGTAAAAGCTCCATGATACAAGTGGCAGAGAAGAGCCTGACACAGCTGACTAAAGTTAGACTGAACGTGTACTAAATGTTTGTTGTTGGTTGAAAAAGTCATGTAAATCTACAAAACCAGCTGTACAGAATTAGAGAAGCACTGAATGTGAGCTCCACATGCTAGTTTTTCTCCAGAGCCTTCAGCTGCATCTCAGGCTGCGTTCACATCACAGGCCTTAACACTCAGCTCTGATCTGATCTTTGTGTGTTGCTGCTTCTGGGCCCTGACTACAAACACCCCGTCCCCTTTGGTTTTCAGCTGGGCCCTTGGAAGAGAGAAAAGACCTTTGTTTGAGGATCTCAAAGTGCACACAGTACTACAAATTAATTAGTAAGATTAAAATCATTTCTAAAACATAGTGTTAGCCAGTGCAGAGAAGCTAAAACAGGAGTGATGTGATCACATCTCCTAGTTCTGCTAGTTCTGGCAGTTCAGTATAAAGTCATTTTCTACAGAAGAAAATATTATTGACGAAGATGTGCTTTTTTTAAAAAATAACAAACCAGTGGTTTAAAATGTGACACATGATGTCAGGGATATATAGCCTGTCTGTTGTTCAGATGAATGATTCAGGAGGGTGTAATTGGTTACAGTTTTTTGTGTAATTTTGGTTATGTTTTCCACATTGTGGTATCTACATTTGAAAAATCCCTTAATGATATTTTAGTATTGACTTTAACCATACAACCTACTTGAAGCTGTTCTCTCCAGCAGCCCAAAATGTCTCGTAGTTTAATGACTGTAGTGCTGAAATGATTAGTTCAAATGAAAGTTTCACACAATCACAGAGTTACCACCTTGGTTAAAGTTACCATCCTCATCATGATTTACATTAAATCTAATTCTATTTACTATTTGTGGTTAGCATTTTTTGCCATTATCTCTCATGGTTTTCATTGCTGGTGGCTGGATTCATACTGGCATCATCTCCTACAGCCGTATCAGAGCTGGATTAACTCACTGCTAACCCAACGTCTCCTATTGTCCTGATTTCCTTCAGCTGTTGCTTCACATTAAATCTTTCAACTGAAATCTTCAGAATTATAACTTGAACTTGTCTCTATTTTTGTAAAGCTGCTTCTTTGTTTCCTTCTTAAGGGGCCTTAACTAGCTGTAATGTGGTCTATAGGAACTGTCAAGTTCAGTTTCTCTTTGTGCTCCTCCTTCTGCCTCACCAAAGTCCCCATAGGCCTCAAGGGAGGGGACACAGCCCACTGCACTTTGGGAATTGTAGTCCAGGTAGAAGGCTGGGTTTTGCAGCAGATGAGACTGGTTAATATCTAGGCTTCCCAGCGGGTCACTGAGCGGGGTGGTGAGCAGGGACAGCTGCTGCTGGTCAATGGTGCTGGTGGGGAAGGGATGTGATTGGTCGAGTGGGGAGCAGGCTGGTGGCGGTGAGCTGGTCGCCAAGGTTATGTCTCTCGGAGGAGCGGAGGGTGAGTTGACCTGAGAGTCATCAGTGGTGAGGGAACGCCTCAGTTTGGCCCGAGCATTTTGAAACCACACCTAAGAGAGAGAGAGAGAGAGAAAGAGGGTTCAAAGGTGACAAATAAGAACACTGAAGACTTTTTAAAATACCCTTAATCCTTTGACTGTAGTTCAAGATGAAAAATCCAATCAAAACATTCAAAATCTGCGATATGACCTGTATCTCATACCTGCAGGACTCTCTTTGGCAGGCCGGTCTTATGTGCGAGGCAGGTCCAGTCTTTACCATCAGGGTTGTGTTTTTGTGCAAAATAAGACTCTAGCGCTCTGAGCTGCTCACTGCGAAAACAGGTCCTGATTCGCTTGGTCCGTCTGTGGGTTTGTCCATCCATCACCCTGTCATCCAGCTGTGACTCCGGACTGCTGACAGACTCCTCTCCTTCACCAAAGACCTGATTTGGAGCTGTCTCACACACATACAGGCGTGTTCTTGTAAGCTAGCTAAAGGCCTGAGCACACATTCATGAGTTTTAGCCTTGTTTAGCTCCTAGTTTTGGTTTTACAGTTTGACTGTCTGGTGCAGTCAGAGCAGCAGGTTTACTGCAGCTTTTGCGCCTGTTTTTCCAGTACACCCATGGTGCATTCTCATATCAAGACATCTGTGAACCGTCCTTGACTTGCAGAATGTATGTTGGAGGTTCAACACCAGGATCAGTCCAGGAGCTGACTGCATAATGAACTGCTGTCTTAGTGAATCAGATGCCGAACACACGCAGATTGTGATCATACGTTTGTATAATTTTCACATTTCCAGCAGTAGAAGGCAACTATTTTCATCAAACAAGCTCAGATAAAGCCACTGTCACAACCTGCTCAGCCACAAACAGCAGACAGAGCCAGCCAGAGACCAGCTGTGAACACAGTGCAGCATTTAGCAGCTAAAGAGCTGGAGGTTTCCCTCAGGAGGCGGTGGAGACCAAACACAGAGTGAACAAAGGGGGAGCACTGGGCTGAGACTCATCAGATGGACACAGACATGGCTCCACATGGTCTTTGATTACACCTGCATAGTGTTGATCAATCGCTATTCTATATACAGCTTGTTATCATTTAGACAATCTAGATGTTATTCCATGTTTTATTAAAGTTTTAATTAATCATTTTCTGCAAAAAATTTGACCGAACATGATAGAGGACAGAAGGATAGAATCTGGGGTTATAAAGGTGGAAACTTTTTTTTTTCATAAATACAAACAATCAAACAGCCAATCAAACAAACAAACACTCTCTCTCTCTCACCTTCTATCAGATTTGATGTGGGCTGTGGATCGTGGGACAGCGGGACACTACCATCACCATGATAATGTGACTGACAGTAGAGGTTCTGGCCCTGCATGCAGTACAGGGTCCCAGGCATTAGTTTCACATCACACTCCTGCAAAACATGTTCAACATCATAAAAATATTTGTATGCATTTTGTATTGTGTAACAATAATAACACCAAGAATGAACCAATTTAAAATCTGGTGCACAAGTATGACCTTGTTCCAGTGAAAGTATCTAAGCCTAAACTTTGAACTAACCTGGCAGGAGAAGCACTGAGGATGGAAGGTCAGCTCACCAGACCTCATTACTAACTCAGAGGCTGGGATTGGCTGGAAGCATCGAGCACACTGACCACCTCCAAACATCCTGAACAGGAGACGAAGAAAACAAAAAGTCAAGAAATAATAATAGCGTTTGTTTAAATCTTCCAAACCTGAACCTCAGATAGATGCAAACAGGATGAAGTTGTTAGTACAAACTGCAAAGGAAAACTATAAATTCGCAGTAATTTAAGAGAAAAATGTGGAGTCCAGTGAGCACAGGAGTCAAATATCAGTGATAAAGGGCAGAGCCATTCCGTGTGAAACTCTATGATATTACTGAACACAAACAGCTGCTCTGACCTGCTGTAGTCCTGCTGGCAGTAGATGTTTCCGTCTCTCCAGAAGAGCGAGGGGTGTGTCTGCAGCTCACACTGACAGTGGCTGCAGCGGAGGCACACGTTGTGCCACACCCTGCCTGCAGCCAACAGGAAGAAGCGGTCACACACCTGCTCGCCACATCCGGCACACACGATTGGCTCCTGGATGGAAACAGCTGTCGGAGTCTAGAGTAAAGACAGAGAGAGATTTGACTCAACTGAAAATAAAAAAAAAGGGGGCAGAAGCTTTTTATTCAAGTGTGATGTAGATAAAAGAACCAACCACTAAAAACCTGTTTTATGGCTGAACAGAGTGATTCAGAGATTGTGTGTGTGATTTAAAGAATCCTCACAAGCTGAACAGTGTATTGCTTATGTTTCAGATTTGTTTCTGGCAGTTTCTGGCTGTCTCTGTATCTACTGGGCTTAAAGGCCATACTCACATTTGTTAGTGTCAGCACGAATGTGTCATGTTGTGTTGTTACTGTCATTATGTAACTGTGCTGTAATACAACAGCATGTAGAGATCCAAAAAAGACAAACCTCCTCAAGCAGATCATGTTCCCAGTCATGTTCCCAGTCACCACAGATGTAACTCATGTTTGCTGGATCACAGTGATGATATAGATTCCCATGGTTATGACAGACTGTCCTCATAAATAATAACCCAACCCTCCTCATGCTCACATTGTCTGCAGCAGTGCTCTCCTCCACCCCTGCGGGGCCACTGCCCAGCTCCACCCCCTCCACCTCATCACCAAGGTCACTGCTGTACAACAGATCCTCGAGGGCTCGGTCGTCTGGCGACATCATGATTGTCCTGAGGAGGTAGAGGAGGTAATTATCAGTCCTCTCGTCTCTCATTAGACAGCTAAAAACACACATTTATTGTCACTATTAATACACAACAACAGCAAGTGTTAGACACCAACATCTGGACACAAGCTGGAACGCAGGGCATGTGACATGGCTGTTCTCTTTCAGCATCATGTAAAGGCCATTTTAATTCTGTGGTTGTGTGTGAGTGAAGATTCAGGTTCATATACTAGTTGTGGGCCAGATGTTCACCAGCTGCTGTTAAACTAAACTGGATCAGATCGCTCCTCTCACTTCACATCAAATGAGGTGACTTTTCATCAACTTTCTAGGTTTGGGTAAAATGTACACAATCAACAAATGCTAAAATTAAAATGTAGTGATGATGCATAACACATCACACCCCTTCTTACATTCACTCCCTGTCTCATTTAGAATTGATTGTAAAATGTATACAAAAGGGAAAAAGGCCTAAACTATCCACTCTGAATCTTGTGGTTTAAGGATAAAAAGTTATTACATGGCTGATACCAATGCATTTCGGCTACAAGCCCTGATCAGCACCTGTCCACACACAAAACACGTTGCAGGTGTGTGGACAGCAGACACACGGGGCTGCAGTCCAGGCACTGTGAACCTCCACCTAGTGCGAACCTTCACAGTGCAACATGCAACAGTCAAACCCAGAAGTCTTCACATACAGCAAACATTCAAAGTACAAAAAGGTCACAATACATGGATCATTGTTGGTCGTTGCCACTTTTTATGTTCAGTGATTCTCTCCTAAGCTTCTGTAGCCAACGTAAAAACATCCACAGGGTCATTCTGAGTGAGAGTCAACAAAACTGGTGTTGCAGCAAAAGAACCCAGCAATACTTTATCTGTCTCAGTACAATTTTTGGGATGTTTAATATTTCTGAAATTTACAACACCTTACCCATTGGAACGTGTTATCCAGGAAGCCTTGGGATCTGGAGTCTAATAACTGTTTCCAACTGTAAGGGCCCGTTACTTACCATATGATGGGCTTTTGAATATGCTCTTAACTTAAAATTATGCAAACTTCCTTAAAGTGATAGAACATTAACTGAGAAAACAGGCAGCAGATTAATCGATAATAAAACTAATCACTAGCTGCAGCTCTAATCACATTTTCAATCATTTATTGAAGAGAAATGATTTAATTCTTTGTCACCAGCTTCTACAATATGAATGATTTTTTTTCTGTTTTATATAAGTGTAATGTGAATATCTTTGGCTTGATTGGACAAAACATCTGAACATAAATCAGTAATGAGAACTACTGTTAGTTGCAGCCTTAAATATCCTCATGCTTGAGTACAAATATGCAGTAAGTAAGGAAGGTAATAAGCAGTCAGTTTTCACCTTTTTATCCAGGTAGATGGGGGAGGAGAGAGGAGATGAACAGCAGCTTTCCAGTCTTGCTGAGGGAGTCCTGGTTGGCTCTGTGCACTGAACGTGCTCTGTACAAACTCTTCACACAACACAACTTTTCAAGAATGTTGTCCCAGCTTCATAAAGTCCTGAGCTTCTTCCTCCTTGTCTGCAGAAAGTTCTTTCGCAGGGAAAACACACTCCTGTCTCTGCTTTGGCTCTGCTGAATGGTATCTGTCTTCCACAGAGCTCCCTCGACCTGACGCTCTCACTCGGCCAGGTGTCTCTGCAGCCTCCTGTGTTGTGGTTTTGGGATCAGTTTCCCTCTGAGCACTTACCTAAGATTTGCTTCCACCCTGTCCTCGACCAATCATGTTCACAGCATCTCAGCTGGCAGCAGCATCAGCACCGGCCCCTCCCTCCTCGCCGGCTGTCCCAGGGGACATCCTGGTGGCACACACCTGTAAACAAGAGGCCCGAGCGACTCAGAGCGCAGGTAAAAACTGATATGATTGGCTGCCTAGTGAGCAGAAGGGTGGGGCCGCTGCACCCCAGGGACCAATTAAAAAAAACATAGAGTGTTTAAAGGGACATCTGGGACCTGCTCACCAGGATGAAAAGACGATGGGTAGAACTCGACTTCTCCCTCGGCTATTTGGACCAAACTACTATTGTCTGTGTGTCTTTTTCTCCCTGTTTAACTGAAACCCCCCCCACACATTGTACAAAGAGACATAAGACTGAATCTTTGCTTATGCCCACAGTGAGAGAGGACCCCTACTATTTATTCAGAAAATAAAAGCACTTCAAATCCATTAAAGTAAGCACAAATATGCACACTTGATTCATTTCTGACAAAACTGAATTTATTGTGCTTGGGCCTGAAAACCTTAGAAATCTGCTGTCTAATCATATAGTTACTTTAGATGACATAGCTCTCGCCTCCAGTACTACTGTGAGGAACCTTGGAGTCATCTTTGATCAGAATATGTCCTTTAAATCAC